TATATATATATATATATCCAAGTATATCTATAGTAAAGGCCCTTACAAAGGTGGTGTAATAAAGATAGTCACAACCTAAGTTTGAAATATCACTAGGTGAAGAGAATTTATTTCTCATGAATGTATTTTGTTATATTTGAGATTTTCTTGATATTTTAAATGTTGTATGTACATAGTTTTAGGGTTGAAACTTGTTACAGATATTTTAATTTTTATGGATAAAAAAATTAATTGATATTTTATTTTTTTATTTTCTTATATGCAACTAGTTTAGTTAATTTGTAAAATGTGAAATTGAATACCACAGTGTAGTAGTTGAGAGAAAGGAGATGGAATAGCTATAAGCACAAAAATATGAGTTTGATGCTACTTTCTTTGTAATATTTTTTATCTTTACAAAATAAAAATAAAAAAGTGAAATTGAGTGATAATTCATTCTTAACTTAGTTTGTATTTTTTATACTTGTTTTGCCAGTAACTTTGTGTTTTCATGACTAAATTGTATTTAGTTCCTATAATATCTAATTTATAATTTGATTTTCTAATTTTTATTTATGTAATTTTAATCTTCAAATTTGTATAATCCATAATTTTGATTCAACTATTAAAGGTTGATTAATTGACTATTAAAAATTGTAACATTAACTATTAAATGACATTAAATAAATAATATGATAATATTTAATAATATTTACATTAAATTACATTTTTTATCCTCATTTTCCCATTTCATCTTGTTTTACCACATTAATGGTAAAAATGAGTAAAAATGTAATTTGGTTTAAAATTTTTAATTGTCATGATATTTTCTTATATTAGGTAATTATTAATGTTACAATGATAATAATTAATAGATCAATGATATAAATTTATATGTTTGACCAAAATAGCAGATTTTACAAAATTAATAACCAAAATTGTGAAAATAAAATTTAGGTGACCAAAATCATGGATTAGATGTTATAGAAGGGCAATAATGTAATTCAATCTTTTATTTATTTATCAATATACATGTCCATATATATATTATGCTTGAGTATGCAAAATGTGAATGCACTTTGCATTCCACCATACAAGTTATGTGCTCTTATGTTCGCCCTCCTCTTGTTTTTATTTTTTCAGTTTTTATGTTTAAAATTTAATTATTATATTAAAAATTTAAAATACAATTCAGTAATAATATTTTTATTTAGTCATTAGAGTCAATAATCAAAATATCTCTAAAATTTATACTATACTTTTAATCTATTTAATTTTTCGATGAAAAAGTACACTATTTCCTCTGTTTATTAAAATAATCTAGAGCCTTTGGATAACAATAAAATTAATAAGAAGAAATTAACTACAAATGTAAAGCTTTACTGTTGAGTAAGTAAATCACCTCGTGTGTGTGTATATATATTATATATATAAACATTAAAAAGGAAAAGATTTTACAATAAGTTCTGACTCACATGGGAAGCAAGGAAGGGAGGTTGATATCAACATGGGTAGGGGTAACCTATACATTTTCTTCAAAAAATTTCCCTAAGCAAATTATTTACTGCCTCTTTGCCAATGTCTTCCTCAAGCCTTTGATAATCTTTGAAAACCAAACCAAGTTCATAACTGATAGCACCAACGGCACAATAATTACTAATAACTGCCCAAAGGTGTGCATCTGCTCAACCTGTTGAATAATTCAACAAAGCTATGTGATCCTTACCCTTACCAACCACATCGTTTTACCACAAATAAAATGAAAAATGATCCAACAGCTAGGTTTCCACCGAACAATTTTACATACTTATTGTAACCTCGTTATAAAGAAATAGCGTGTACATGTCTCGAGTGACAAATAAGTTATCCAACAAGGTGCCCATAAATCTAAATTCATTAGACCAACTTTACTAAATTGGTCTCGTTAGTTATTATGTAGGCATAGTGGTATGCATGTACTTGTGTCTGTTGACACAATACAACCATACTAAATATCAATCCTTGCACCACAAAAAACCCTCCTACTCCCCAAATGACAAGCATCAATTAAAATTTTAGTTGATAATGAGAAATAGATGTTTAGGATTTACGATCCTTGTTATAAACAACAAATTCAATTTTTCTTTGATCTTAATTATAAACAACAATTATTAATTTTTAAAGTTACAAGAGATAAATTTCTTAAATACCCTTCATTTATTATTAACTTTATTTCTTATGCATTTATTTATAACTAACATTAAATATAAAAAATCACCTAGAATAAAGGGTATTTTTGGAATAAATATTAAATTAATAATAAAATTAATTAAAAATAATCATATTAATTTTATTTTTTTTATCTTGATAATTTGCACTATGTTGCTTATAATTAGGATGGAGCTAATATCTTTTATGCAGTAAATAGATCCATGATTTAGGCGGCCAGTTATCATCCAAGACAGACAATAATGTGAAGACAACAGACAATTTTTAAATTCAGGTTGTGAATAGTCATTACCTGATCAAAGTGCAAGTAGACATGGTAAAACATGTAAATGAACAGAAGTATTCTGGCAACCTGCAGATGAACCATTTTGGTAAGCAACCGAATAAGACATGAACAAAAATTCTATATATTGAACACCATAGATTTTTAACTAATTAGAAATCACCCTATATTTTTAAAGTAATTATTACAAAACTTAACAATCTTATTCTACACGGCAATCAATGATTGGATGACGTACTAATAGTGAATTATATATATATATATATATAT